AATTAAATATTTCAACCCATTCATGCTTTTCATAATTCAAGAAAATATATTTGATTGTTGATCGGGAGTAAAAGGTAAGACCATTTCATTTTTCAAAAAAGTGAAGTAATAAGTTTCGTAAAGAGCGTGAACGGTAGCGTGAATGATTTTTTACTGAGAAAATAAGCAAACAAACAAACAAACAATCTCGGAGTTTTAGTAGTATACAGATAGATTCTTCAAGATCTTGTTTTTGTCATCTTACGCCTATTAATAAAGATGGGAACATTGACAGGGAAATAATATAACAGCCAATGCTGGGCTAGAGGTTTTCGTTTATAAAATTTTGTTGTTGTTCTCGACTTGCTTTTTAATTTATTACCTCGTCTCCATCCATAGTTACTATTTGCAAATAGTCAATAATATTGCAGGTCCATTTTATTGTTGTTCTTTCTACGCGCCATTATAACACATTTTCATTTCATCATTTAATATCTGTTGTGCATATATTGTTGTACAGAAGATATTTTAAAGTGATTCATTAGGTCGAAAACGAACAGATAGATAGATAAACCGATATGTGGCGCCATCTTGAAATTTTCATAAAAGTGACCCGAAAAACGGGGTTAACTCGGTAACCCGTGTCCCGATTATAACGAAACTTGTTTTATTCTGTTTCTATTATCAGTTCATTACAAATATGGCGCTATTGTGCACCGTTTTTGCTGTATTTAATAACAGACAAGCAAATACACAAACAATCTCATAGTTTTATTACTATATAGATTACATATTAAATTTCTGTATAATGGCTTTCTAATGCCTAACCCTTAAAAATTAATGTTAAAACGTCAAGTTTCAAGTTTTCAGTAGCCATCTGAAATTACAAGTATGACACCGTGACAATTACAGAAATACAACCAAGAGATAACTCAGCTGTCAGTTAAAATGAAAATAATCCTGACAAATTTATAACGAAATCACGTGAAATAGAATAAACTATATGAAAAATACTAAATATATAATAAAATAAATCACATGATAAATACAAATTGTATAAAAATTTGAAATTAAAACACATGTAAATATGTCAATGAAAAAAGGGAGGTTTATCGAATGAATGATTTACATTTAAATTTGGTAGGATAGGGGCTGACTTGTTTGTTAATGCTATTACCTCAACTGTAAGGACAGCTTTAAACTAGGTCTAGACAGTGGTGTGAGCTAGATTAACGAAGAAAAACAAAATACATAGTGTAGGGACAGAATAAAAAGTAGTTTTGATTGTCGCCTAAACTGTTAATGTAGTAATGCTAGAAGTATGAAAAATATAATGAATAATTTTAGAGCACTGATCGGAACAGAGGATTTTGGTGTATTACAAACAATTGAAACTTGATTAAATGTAGACAATTTTGATGACAGAAATTTCTTTAAAATACGGGGTTATATGTTGTTCAATAGGGATAGAGTACTAGAACAAGAGAGGAGGAGAGGTTTTATATGGAAAATGTAAATTATATCCTACTCAAGTTGAAAATATCAAAACTAATAGCAATAAGGTTGGTTTATTTGGGTTTCTCTTTGGAATTTGTCATAGACCAACAGGCTAACGGATGAAATTAATGAGGAACTCAAGAGCTAGATAAAGGATTCAATTTTCAATGAGTTCATGAATAGATTGAGAAACATTAAAGTCAAATCATAAGGGATAAAGGTTTTCAGAAACAGTTCAGGATGATTTTCTTAAGCAATTTGTTAGTGAAGATGCTAGGAATAATGCTATTTAAGATTTATTGTTAAATCTAATATAGAAATGGTTGGCATGGTAGAGGTTGGGGAATATATGGGTGCAAGTAATTATTGCTCAATTAGATTTGATGTTTTAATGCATATAGAGAAAATAAATAATGCTATTTTGGTTCCAAATTATAAAAATCAAATTTTAAAGAGATGAAACAAGACTTATCTTGAGAAACTTAATTAATTAATAGGAGATAATGATCGAATGCGGAAATATTTTAACAAAATTAAATATTCAAGATAGGCATGTTTCTTATAAAAAAAAATGGGGTGACGGCAAAAAAAAAACTCAGGTTGGCTCACAAAGGGTATGTAAAATTCAATTAAATTTTAAAAAGCATTATAAACACAAACATTTTAAATTTACTGCAATGATGGAAAGTTGAAATTATAGAAAATAGAAAGAGTTGGTCAAACGGGAATTATGTTTGTTTGTTTTGAATTTCGCGCAAAATTACACGAGAGCTCTCTGCGCTAGCAGTCCCTAATTTAGCAATGTAAGACTAGAGGGAAGGCAGCTAGTCATCACCACCCACCGCCAACTCTTGGGCTACTCTTTTACCAGTGGGATTGACCGTCACATTATAACGCCACCACGGCTGAAAGGGCGAGCATGTTTGGTGTGACGGGGATTCGAGCCGCGACCCTCAGATTGCGAGTCGAGCACCTTAACCACCTGGCCATGCCGGACCCCGGGAATTAGGAAATAAAAAATATACAAAAATGTTAGCTAAAAATGTAAGAATTAATAGTAAGAATTTCTTTGAGTATATTAAGAGTAAGAAAAATTTTAGGATGGAAGTAGGGCCTTTAAAAGTTGATACAGGAATGCTAATATCCAAAATTATTGGATGGCTCGATTATTAAATTCTAATGTTTCTTCAGTTTCTACAAATGAAAATTTAAGCAATATTAACTCATCCTAAATAGTTACTAGATGGTGTAACGAATGTATTATTATATTTTTATTTTAATATCAACG